AAAAATGATAGATTTTATATATAAAAAAATACATGTATATCTTCTGACTACTCACCGACTACACAGACTCACCGAAATACAAGACACAGGTGTGCCAGGGCCTTTTGTGAAATACAGCTCCTTCAAAAGCGCGTGAGGTAAGGAGGTAGAGTATTTTTTTTTAAATGGGACATGTGTCCCATTTCTATTGGGTAATGAATTTCATATATCATATTATATAAATTAAATTATCATTCATATTTTGTATCAAAAAATAAAAATAAAAATACTAAAATTCATAATTTTTCATTCTCTACAAATAAAGACCACATTTGATATTTTTTGGAACACAATTAATTTATCTTATTGGAAGATTATGACGCAAATCTGTAATTAGATGAATATATTACATATTAAGATGAACATGTTATAGAGTAAGATGAACATGTCATAGAATAAGATGAAAATGTTACCTTTTCACATATGAAATTTAGATGAACATGTTCTAAAATAAAATGAACATGTTACATAATAAAATGAACATGTTATACAATAAGATGAACATGTTACATAATAAAATGAACATGTTATAGAATAAGATGAACATGTTACATAACAAAATGAACATGTTATAGAATAAGATGAACATGTTACATACACAATAAGGTGAACATGTTACATAATAAAATGAACATGTTATATAATAAGATGAACATGTTACATAATAAAATGAACATGTTATAAAATAAGATGAACATGTTACATACACAGTAAGGTGACATGTTATAAAATAAGATGAATATGTTACCAAAATGAGATGAACATGTTATAAAATAAGATGAATATGTATTATTCCAATCTGCAATCTGTAACATGTTCATTTTATTTGAAAACATATTTATCTTGTTATGTAACATGTTCTTTATATGTCAGTATAATAAAATAATTACGAAAAAATGAAAAATTAGTTGTGTTCAAAAACCTATCAAATGTGATCTCTATTTATAGATATGAAAAATTATGAATTTTGATATTTTTATTTTTTTAATATAAATAATTAATGATATTTTAATTTATATAATATGTCACATTTTTTAATTAAAAAAGAAAAATAAGAATGTGCACTACATTCTCTAAATTTTTTAATTTTTTAAGGTGAAGGTAAATTTTTTAATTTTTTAAGGTGAGGGGACGCGCGCAAATTTGCCCTGACACACCCAGTGAGAAAGCTGTGAAGCCCCCCATTATTGACCCGAAAAAGAGGATCATATTCGAAAGGAGCTCCAACCAATCGATTCGGGTCATCTCCTCTTGCTCGAAAATCCTTCTTCAAAATTCCCAGAAAGAAATCCTATCTTTTTTATCTCTTCTCTCTCTGCAGATCTGAAAACGCATGATTGCATTTTTCTGCATCACCTTGCGGTGATGATATAGCTATTTCGAGATTTTGCGTCGTCATTTGGTTTTTTCCATCGATTATCTATGTCTACGGGAGTGGAGAGGCATGCCAATTTCCCGGCACAAGCTGCTGCGACTGCTGCTGCAACAATGGCGTCTGGGGCGGACGATTCGAAGGCCCGACCCGGAAGATACAGCCCGGTGAAGAATCTCGGCCCGGTGTCGATGGACCACGTGTTGGCCGCCCTGCGGGAGACGAAGGAGGAGAGGGACTCGAGAATCCGAAGTTTGTTCATCTTCTTTGATTCCAACAACGCTGGGCACTTGGATTCCGCCTTGATCGAGAAGGGGCTGTCGGCAATGCAAATCCCTGCGGATTACAGGTTCGCCAAGGAGCTTTTGAAGGTGTGCGACGCGAATCAGGATGGGCGGGTCGATTATCAGGAGTTTAGAAAGTATATGGATGACAAGGAACTGGAATTGTACAGGATTTTCCAGGCAATCGATGTGGAGCACAATGGGTCCATTTCGCCTGAGGAATTGTGGGATGCTCTTGTTAAGGCTGGTATATCTCGCTGCTTTTTTTTTTCTTGGTCATGTTTATTGATCTTCTTAAATAGTGTGAGTTGATTGACATTTTCCATGGTTGATTGTTGAAAGCGATCAATTTACCTATTTTATTGGAAGAATGATTTTTATGCTGTAACTAATATTTTACCTTGATTTTGGAGCATGACAACTTTTCTCCTCAAATATTACTGAAGAATTGTCACCGATAGTTACTTATTTCCTCGTGGTTGGAATTTCGCATGTGATATAGGACTCGTTGAGCCCAGCATGGCCACAGTCTCAAACTCAATTTGTTAAATTTCAATCCGAAAGCCCAAGTCAAATATTAATACAAGATTGTTTGATAATTAATGAATGCACTAATTCTGGTGAAAGGGGCCAGAACAGACGTTCACTATGAACACCATCTCTATTGTCAGTAGTTTCTTGTTGTCATTTGATTTGCCAGCCTTGTCTAAAGATTCTGCTTGTCTGCATATCATCAATTTCTTCTTGATCACCAAAAATTAACGCGGACAAACACATTTTAAATTTGTATTTATTTCCCACTCTAAGCCTTCCGGTCATTTGTCAGTGATCGCTTCGAAATCATAATCAGATATGACTTCTGATCATATTCGGTTGCTTTATTTATGAGTAGTTTCTCGAGTGATTTAGACGTTGTTTGGTAAGCACCATAAGCTACCTTATAGCTTATTTAATTAGTTTATAAGCTTCCTATATTCAAATAACCTTGGTTTGGTAGGATGCGCTTTTTGAAAAAGCCTAGTTTTTACCGAACACTTTTTGTATATCAACTAGATTTTCATCCACCAGCCATAAGCTATCCTCTATAAGCTCGAAATTCACTTACAAGTTATCAACAAACTTATCAACTATAGATTTACCAAACATAACCCTTACTAAATTTTCCCAATTCAGTCATCAAACTTCCATATCATATGCCTTTTCTATTAAAACAAACAAGAATATTATTATCATCTTTCTTTTTCCTTGATGATATTCCGTATTGTCAGATTTAACATTTCACGTTTCCATTTGTTTCCTAACGTTACAATTTCGCTTATACGTAAATGTGTTTATGTCTTCATCTTACAAGCCACGGCAGTTTATTTACCCCAGGGATCGAAATTGACGACAGCGAGCTCGCCAGCTTCGTCGAGCACGTCGACAAGGACAACAACGGCATCATCACTTTCGAAGAATGGAGGGACTTTCTCCTTCTCTACCCTCACGAGGCCACCTTGGAAAACATCTACCATTACTGGGAACGCGTGTACCTAGTCGACATAGGCGAGCAGGCCGTAACAATCCCCGAGAACATCACCAGTCCCGTCCACGCCACAAAGTACCTACTCGCCGGAGGAGTCGCCGGAGCCGCCTCCCGGACGGCCACCGCTCCTCTCGACCGCCTGAAAGTAATTCTTCAGGTCCAGACCACCCGCGCGTCAATCGGGCCCGCGGTTCGTCACATATGGAAAGAAGGTGGGCTTTTGGGCTTTTTTCGGGGAAATGGGCTGAACGCGCTTAAAGTAGCCCCCGAGAGCGCAATCAAGTTCTACACTTACGAGATGTTGAAAGGTTTGATTGGAGATAGTGAGGGTGGGGATGTGGGGACTGTGGGGAGGCTCGTCTCTGGTGGGTTGGCTGGGGCTGTGGCTCAGACCTCGATTTATCCTATGGATCTATTGAAGACCCGATTGCAGACGTATGTGTGTGAGAGTGGGAGTGTGCCGAGCTTGAGGAAACTGTCGAGGGATATATGGGTTCGAGAGGGGCCTCGGGCGTTTTACAGGGGGCTTGTACCGTCGCTTATTGGGATTGTACCTTACGCGGGCATTGATTTGACTGCATACGAGACGTTGAAGGATGTCTCGAGAAAATATATTCTTCATGATAGGGGTATGATGTGGATAAATATTCGTTTGCGAATTATTTGATTGAAACTGTATTTTATTTTTACATCTAAGTGTTATTGGGCAGAACCCGGTCCTGTCGTGCAGTTGAGTTGTGGGACGATTTCGGGATCTCTTGGCGCGACATGTGTGTACCCACTGCAGGTGGTAAGAACGAGGTAAGTATTACATACGGTTACCCTCTCTGTTTATCTCTATAGTAGGAAAATATATAGTTTTTTGTGTTGGCTGTTATTTTATTAGATGAGAAGAAGTTCCCACCATTATCTGATGAAATGATAAATGATCACCAAAGTACAACCTAAGGTCTGACCTAAAAAAATTACAAAAATTAATGGTTGGGTTATATTCACTTTCCATTTTGCACTAACTGTTGATGGAAAGGAGTAATTGTGTTGGAAAAAATATTTAGAAATTCCAAGAATGTATGGTCAGGATTCCCGTCAGGTTATTTGCAACGACTTTTTCGCTTCGTAGAGTTGTAATGGTTATAATTTCTATGTATTCATTGAATATCACGACTAAGAACTGGAAGGAATGTATAGCTTGAGGGTTGTTTTTTGTAATTTCATACGTTGTCTCCATTTTTCTCTTTCCTTTTCTTTTTTTCCATCTCTCAGGGTGTGATTGTGGGGGAGGTTCCTGACTTGTTGTAGTTTGGCCAACCATTATTGGTTGTTTTTCTAATTACCCCATGTTTACTATTATTCTAATATGACTTTCTGATAAAACCCCTTGTTTACTATTATTCTAATTCGAGCTCCTTTCTAGAATGCAAGCTCAACGTAATGGTGCAGGCACTTCCTACAATAGCATGTCGGATGTATTCTGGAGAACATATAATCACGAAGGTCTCCAGGGTTTCTACAAAGGGCTCTTCCCGAATCTTCTCAAGGTTGTACCTGCAGCAAGCATTACATATCTGGTTTATGAGGCCATGAAAAAGAGTCTGGATCTTGACTAGCAGTGACGATGATGATGAAAATGATGGTGATATCATACAATAGGTGAATAATTTTTTTTTTCCTTTTTTTTTTTTATTTTATGTCGAATTGGTAATTACTGTTCTGGTTGCACATTAGAATTTTTTAATTGACCCTAGGGATAATCTCTAGAGAGTGGAGATTTGGAGGTATCCTCTGGGGATTGACCGACTAACTGCTTTTTCGATATGTAAAAAAATGCTGAGTTCACTGAGCTTGTGATTTTTGCCTCATTCTTGACAGTATTATTACACACTAATTTTTTTTCCATGTATGGTTTCTCTTTTAAGTTTCAAGGCCAGGATTCTACAGTTCATTGTCCTGTGAACAGCTTGTGATTTTGCTGAGCATCTATTGATCATTGTGTACCCTCTCCCACAACATTTACTGCAATGTTGATATATATATAATGTCTAAGATTAACAATATTACTTGAGCCATGATACATTAGTAGCAAGAAAATTGATGACATTGTTTCTGCAATGGTTGGTATGAGGTACGAGAACACTCGTGTTCCAATTCCTTTTCTTCTTTCTATTTTGAGAACCCTAATTTCCATTTTGAAACTTGAATCTTGAATACTGATCAGCGCTACTCTGGAATTTCACTTTTTCTATTTGTTATTATGGAATTTCAATTTTCTATTTGGTTATTATTGGGTCTTGCATTTTGCCAAAGCCCCACTTTTAATCATATCAGCAAAAGATGGTGAGCCATTACTTTGAATCAGCTAATTTTGTTCATGAATTCATGACACGACTTTAGCACTACTGATGTAAGGAAAGCGTACAAGTGAGAAAGATAAACGAGATACTCTCTCGATAAAACTCACAATCAATTCATATTTAATTCATAATCAACTCCAAATAACAAAAAAGGAGTCTTTAAATAAGACTCTTAAAGCCCTAAACCTGACTTGTCATCAATCTACTAAATAGTAATAATAATAATAATTATTATTCTGCATCATTCTTCCCCGGTTGAGTAGGATTCGTTCTCGAATTCGGCCTGTTCCCGTTGGAGACGTCTCATGACAGGAATAGCCCAACGTTTCCCACGATCGAATACAAAAGTTGAAGGTCGCCCAACAACCCCGAAAGTAAACATAATCTTGGGCAAGGATTAAACTGCTGCAAAGGTACACGCCTTCATACGCATAACCCACACAGCTGAATTAACACAAAACATACCACATCGTTCGCCGTGCTCAAATCCATAACTACGGCCAAGCATCCCGTTGTTTACAATCGAAAAAAAACCACCAATTATTGAGCCTCGGCTTCGGCTCCGAAAAATCATCGTTAGCTAAGATACTCCAAACATCGGGTTTCAACGACGGCATTCTCGTCAACGGCTCAACTTCTGCGACATCCCACGCGGGACCCATATTACCGCAAAAATATGTCTCCGTCACCGGAGGCTCCTCATCGAAAATAGGCGGACCATCGTACAATAGCCCGTCATCATACTCAAAAATCGCACTCTGTTGCCGCACATCATGGTCGTCGTGCGCACAACAAGCTTAGTCTCGACTGGCGGAGGCGGCCACTCTCCGAGGGGATCCACCTCCGAGATAGTCTCTCGCTGTCTGCATCGTCGGGCGGGGGTTGTGGAGATCACCGACGGGGCACCCTGTCTGGACCACGATCTCCACTTCCTCCGTGAACTCCCCCGCGCACACCCCGGTCGTCGGCGGCACGGTTCATCTGTAAATCCCAGACCACGTTGTTAAGTGTCAAACGCAAATCCTCAATCCCCAAACCAATCCGTGAAACGCACGTCCAACTGTTGAAATCGGTAGTCGATCTGTTGAAACCGATGATTAAAGGTTGCATCACGTGGTTTGTTTGCTGCATCTTGTCGTCTCGGCGACATCGCGAATCGTACTGACTGCTGATACCAACTGATGTAAGGAAAGCGTACGAGTGGCGAGATACTCTCTCGATAAAACTCACAATCAATTCATATTTCATTCTTAATCAACTCCAAATAACAAAAAAGACGGAGTCTTTAAATAAGACTCCTAAAACCCTAAACCTGACTTGTTCACCAATCTACTAAATAATAATAATAATAATAATAATAATAATAATAATTATTATTATTATTATTATTACATTTGTTCTGCATCAACTACACTCATAATCTTTATTTATTTATTTTTATTTCCATTTTCAGGTTGGTGACATTGCATGAACTACTTTTCCACCCCAAATTAGCGTAAAATAATTTAGTCCAGTTAATTAGTATAAATAATTAAATATTATTGTCTCGTATATACTTTCCATTCTTTCATTTTTTTTATTTATTTTTTGGTCTTTATCATTTTCATTACATGAAGTAGCTCATATTTTATGGACAAAAACATTTTATGAGTTGAAACTAGTACCATACCCGGTGCTGCGGTGCACGACATTGAAATTAAAAAAACATTAATATAATTTATATAAACAAAGTAATACTTAACTAAAACTTGCCTGTTTTCTTTCCTTTTTTTTATAAACAAAGTAATACTTAACTAAAACTTGCCTGTTTTTCTTTCCTTTTTTTTATTCTCCTTTCAACATTAGATTCAGTAGCCTTTACATAGATTATATATGAAATGTTTTTTAATAAAAAAATGTTTTGTAATTATTTGAAGAAGACATATTGATTATTCTTTCTGATAAGCTATATTCATATATAGTATTATTAATGGGAAATTTTTGCTTTTCCTGATTTGAGAAGCAGAAATCATCATTGTCATCTAATTTTACACTTTTTGGTCATTTGTTGATTCAAAATAGCAACAAAAGTAACCAGCAGACATCAGAAAAAATTGCAAGATTTATGTGATCTGTGATGCTTGGATATAAAAATTTTTGGTTTTGTTTGGATTTTTTGGTTTGGTTTGGTTTGATTAATTTTGAAAAAGATTGTATGGTTAGTTGTTAGTGAGTATATTAAAAATGATATTTAAAATATACAATGTTGCTATAAAACCAACTGGTTGGTTCCCTTATGGAACCAACACCCAATGATTTTGCTCCATGTGGGGCTGTCCCACGTGGGCTCCATGTGGGACAGCCCCACATGGAGCTGTCTAATTGGGTGTTGGTTCCATAAGGGAACCAACCAGTTGGTTTTATAGCAACATTGTTAAAATATAATAATTAAAGTTGATTTGATGTAAAAGTAGGGGAGAGATGATTTGAAGTTATTGTTAGTTAAAATTATGTGAGTAAATGAATAATGAATAAAAGTTAATATAGTGTGTAAGAATGATTGATTGATATTATTTAATTCTTGAAACTCATTCTCAACACCTTTTTCCATCATCATCAGAGTTCATCTTCCATCAGCACCTCCTCATTTTTTCCTCCTCTTCTTCTTCCACTTTTTCCTCCTCAGTCTGATCAAAACCATTATCACCTCAGTCTCATTTCTTTTAGCAGCCTGCTCTTTTTCTTTTTCTTCATTCTTCTTTTTGTTCCTCTCCAACTCCAATACTTGAATATTTTCTCGCAATTCGTCATTCGCATGACACACCATTGCCAACACCTGGTTCTCAAACGTTCCCTATACATTAAAGGAAAAAAAAACATAAATTAAAGAATTCTTGTACCCATGAAAATCTATTAATGCTAAAACATAAATTCTCAATCATAATTAAAGGAAAAAACTGGTTTTCCACAAACATACGCTCATCAAACACAGTTGATACCGAATACACCTGGAAAGTAAATCATAATGATTTAAGTACAATTTTGATTAACTAAGAAAATAAAAAAGAAGAAGAAGAAAACACATAATACTATAAAGACTATATAAATTACCTTATGCCTCATGGTTTTCTTAAGGAATTGTAAACACCCTTCCATTGTAGATGGCAACGTGCTCCCCGTCCATCGAAATAGACGGGGAATCGTCTTGAGCGTCGACCTCTTGCCCAGACAATGGACACGCTCGTACAACCAAGCCTACACATGCACATTATTTCATAATTACACAATCTCACAATCTAATATTATTGTATTAAGACATTGAAACAAATATATACATATCATCAATTCCACTTAACATCCATCAAAGTAAGATCGGTCTCTCGATTTTGTATGACGAACTAGCTCCCCAACCAAGAATTTATGAATAGCATCTCCCCATGCATACTCAGAAATTCGTCTTACATCCTCCAAGGGTAAACGAACCTCGAAATAGAATAACTCGAACATGGGAATAAAATACAACTGAACACAAAAAGACTAAACATCCAGATGAAGTCGTCAACACGGGCTTCATCCACAACAAACTTTTCTATTAAATCAACACGGGCTTCATCAACAACAAACTTTTCTATTAAATCAACAACATGCTTTCTTTCAAAAGCCTCTTGTCTACCCGACCCCAACCATCAAACAATGTTTTTGACTCCAAAGTAAGATCTAAATCTACACTTAGACCACTCCGTCTCAACCCCATAGCGATACAAACCTCGGCGGGATCAAAATTAAGAAACAAATTGTCTCCAACAACAAAGGCATTCTTGTCTGTCCGGTATGTACTGATGAATGCCTCGACTATCGTATGGGTGATCGGTAAATCAAACATATTCAGAAAAAAATAAAACGGGCTCTTTTGAAGAGCTTGCTTATGTGGGTTAAGAAGAACAATAAAAATCTTGTTCATGATATCAATAAAATATGAAGGGGCACATTTGCATCTAAATTCAGTCCCTTATCACAAAAATATAAAACAATTTAAGTTATAAGGAGCCTTAATTCAAAAGGATCCCCAAATCTAAAATGATGAACCCTAAATCATGCAAAGAGCCTTAATTTATCCATAAAATTCGTAATTGGTGAAATATAAGTCAAATTCAAAGTTCGTTAGCACCAAATAGATAACCAAATCTCAAATTCTGAAAAATTTCGAATTCAAGAGCAATCAAAATTTGGAAAAAAATCCTAAAATTCAAATTCTAAAAACTTACCTTATTTGTTGTCTTAGATATAGATGAGGACCGAAAGTCGGATGGAGATTTTTTTTTTAGCCCGCCATTAGTGTTTGACGGGCCGACAGGGGTTTGGTCGGAGATGATGGCCGACGATGAACTATGGAGGTCGATGGTTGAGCTTCACGCTTCACGGAGGTCGAGGGACGACGAGGGTTTGGTCGGAAGTTTTTTCAATCCGGCGATGGACGATCTTGTTCAAAGAACGATCGTGTTCTAAGGAGAGTTTTTCAAATTTTTATGATTTTCAGATAAAAAAATGAGCAATAATAATATTAGTATATATATAGAGAGATTGAATAGGAAAGATGGAGTTTTGGTAGGGAATGGGAAAAAAAAAAGACTTGGATATAAAAATTTTTGGATTTGTTTGGATTTTTTAGTTTGGTTTGGTTGATTTTGAAAAAGGTGATATGGTTAGTTATTAGTGGGTATATTAAAATAATATTTAAAATAAAATAACTAAAGTTGATTTGATGTAAAAGTATGAGAGAGATAATTTGAAGTGATGGTTAGTTAAAATTATCTGAGTGGATGAATAGTGAATTACGGTTGATGTGATGTGTATGAATGATTGGTTGATATTATTTAATTATATTAATAATATTATAGTTGGGTTGAGTTAAAATTGAGTTAAAAAAAGTGGTTGAGTTAAAAATGTTTGGATTTTTTAGATAAGTTTTGTATCCAAGCATCCTCTTAAGAACTAAACAAAAAAATAAAAATGGGACTGAGCATTTATCTCTAATTAACGGTTAAAATGATTGCACAAATTTTACTTTTATATAATGTATATATGATATATTATGTTCATATAATCCTACATTTTGTTTATAAATACAATTTTAATATATACTAGTTAAGAAAATCTATATATATATATATATATAATTACTAGCTAATAGTATTTAATAAAACCTATTTAAATTTACCTATGTGGCAATTTAACAATTTTTCCTCCAAAAATCGTTACATTTTGATGTATTTAATCTTTCATTTAATCATTAAATAATTAATACTCATCACTTCAAAATTACAAAAATCATTTTAAACTTTTGATTAATGACAGTTGACCATATAATGTGTTGACCGTATAATGTGATTAAATGTTATTATTGTTGTTACATTTAATTTTTTTTTCTAAAATAAAAAATATATTTGAAATTCCTAAATAAATAGTAAATAATTCACAAATAAAAGACGTACCAAAATATACATTACATCAAATCAGATAAATGCAATTTAAAAAAAATATTTCAACTCTTTTAATTGTAAATTTGGTCTGCAAAAATGTGAAAGAAAAATAATTAATCATTATATGCATACAGACTTACAATAATTTATTTATATATGTGCAAATGCACAGGTCGAATACTAGTAAGAATAAAAATGAAAATAAAAATGAAAATGAAAATTATGATAGTCAAAAAGGCAAACCGGGTGAACCCGCATAATTACCAGCTCCAGAGGCCAAGAACGTATTTTCCCTGAAAGCTCGTCACAACACGCCACGCGGCGTGATTTCATTGGTTCAAGCAACGTGGCGCTACACATCATTGGTCGAGACGACCCGGCTCCCAGTAGTTCCCTCAGATCTATATAAATACAGCTCTTTCGTACCATCTCAATTCATATAATAATAAAAATCGAAAGTTGTCCATCCAAAACGTAGTATATCTCTAGAAATTTCGAATTTCAGATCCACTATTATCTGCAAACAAAATCTGTATTAATCTTTCTTTGGCTGTTTTTCTCTCATCTTTGGCCTCGTGGCTGTAACAATGGAGGGTCGGAGTCGGAAGATTGGGGTAATGCAGTGTTTGTTGCTGCTGTCCATCGGTTGCTTCGTCTCGCAGCTATACGCCTCCGATGATGTGGTATGTGGATTTTTTTAGTGATTTTCCTTTTTTTGGTTTTGCGATTTGCTGTTTGGATTCGATTGTGTTGCAGTTACTTTCAGATCTCTTGTGGTTGTTTGGATTTTAGCATGTTTGATGTGCTGTGTTTGGTGTTTGTAGATATTCCAAGAGTCGTTCGATGAGAATTTCGAGGGGAGGTGGATTGTGTCCGGGAAGCAGGATTACTCAGGTCAGATTTAATCAGTCTGGATTAGTTTGTTGTTAAAAATTATATCTGGTCTCTCATTTCAAAGTCAGTGCTTGTTAGTTGTATATTAGTATGCAGTTACTGGATATTTACAATCCGTAGTTGGTTGTCTATGCAGTATGGTTTGTTTAAGTGATATGTTTTATATTAAGTTTTGTCCTTAGGAATAAGGTGGTTGTTGAATGTTTGACCTTGTTTGAGATACTAATTAATCCAACCCCTTGTTGAAAAGGCCATAGGCTTTCGTGTTTGTCAAGCTTTTTTGACTCTTCATTTGCTCTAAAAACCTCTAGTAGTGGTAGTTATCTGAGGTTCTTTTAGATGTGATGTTGATACTTGTAATTGCATGGGGAGCTTGTTTTACGAAGAGCTTTTGTGGTGCAGCTCTAGTCTAGATTAAATGCATAGATTATGCCGAGATTCTTAGTACCTGAGAGTTAATGATTGCATTTTCATCAAATTAAACTGATTTTCTGAAACACAGACCTTTTGCTTAATTTGCAATCTCAGGTGTCTGGAAGCATGAGAAGAGTGAGGGACACGACGATTACGGCCTTCTTGTGAGTGAGAAAGCTAGAAAATACGCCATTGTGAAGGAACTTGACCAACCCGTTGACCTCAAGGACGGGACCATCGTCCTACAATACGAAGTCCGCCTACAGAATGGCCTTGAGTGTGGTGGTGCATACATCAAGTACCTCCGTCCCCAGGAAGCCGGTTGGATCCCCAAGGAATTCGACAATGAGTCCCCATACACGATCATGTTTGGCCCGGACAAGTGCGGAGCCACGAACAAGGTCCACTTCATTCTGAAACACCAAAACCCCAAAAGCGGCAAGTTCGTAGAGCACCATCTCAAGTTCCCGCCTTCCGTGCCCTCAGACAAGCTCACCCATGTCTATACGGCCATCTTAAAGCCAGACAACGAGCTGCGCATATTGATCGACGGTGAGGAGAAAAAGAAAGCCAATTTCCTCTCAGGTGAAGATTTCGAGCCTCCGCTCATTCCCTCTAAGACCATCCCTGACCCGGATGACAAGAAACCCGAGGACTGGGATGAGCGGGCCAAGATCCCTGATTCGGAAGCCACCAAGCCCGATGACTGGGATGAGGATGCTCCAATGGAGATTGAAGATGAAGAAGCCGAGAAGCCTGAGGGCTGGCTGGATGATGAGCCTGAGGAGGTGGATGATCCCGAGGCAGCAAAGCCCGAGGACTGGGATGATGAGGAAGATGGTGAGTGGGAGTCCCCTAAAATCGATAACCCAAAGTGTGCTGATGCTCCTGGGTGTGGGGAGTGGAAGAGGCCCATGAAGAGGAACCCTGCTTATAAGGGAAAGTGGCATGCTCCCCTTATTGATAACCCTAACTACAAGGGTATATGGAAGCCAAGGGACATTGACAACCCTGAGTACTTTGAGCTGGAGAGGCCAAACTTTGAACCAATTGCGGCTATTGGCATCGAGATTTGGACGATGCAGGATGGTCTATTGTTTGATAATATCTTGATTGCATCCAGCGAGAAGGCTGCTGAGTCTTTGCGTAAGGATGCTTGGGAACCCAAGTTTAAGGTGGAGAAGGAGAAGCAGAAGGAAGAAGAGGTGGTGGATTCTGATGAGCTTAAGGGTGTTCAGGTAATTTTTGTGGAGATTGTAATTTTTGGGTTATATATGTCGTGTTTTTCAATGATGCTGGTTGATAATGATATGCTAAAATGGGATTGGCCTTGTGTTTATTGTTCCAGAAATTGGTATTTGACTACCTGTACAAGGTTGCAGACCTCCCTTTCTTGGGCGACCACAAAAGCAAAGTCTTGGTGAGTATAGTTTGCTTTTATTGTGAAAAAAGTTACTTACTGGGTGCTTTTATATTAGTATTAATGATTTATTCAATGTTTTCTCTTTCTTTTTGGCAGGACCTGCTCGAGAAGGCTGAAAAACAACCAAACCTCACCATTGGAGTCATTGTCTCGATTGTTGTCATCATCATCTCAGTCTTGTTCAAGCTCATCTTTGGTGGGAAGAAACCTGCTGTAAGTAAATTTAAATAGTTTGCAGTGGGAATTTCCTATCTGTGTTGCCCTTCCTGAAATAGTACTACATTATATGATTAAAGCTTTCTAAAGTTGTGTGAGATAAAATGGAAAAAAAATGTGAAACACATTATATAGGATTTCATTACAGTAACTTGTCACTGATCATTATGTATCTAATTTTTTATTTTCAATTGTACAACAACATTATATATGGGATTTCATTACAGTAACTTGTCACTGATCATTATGTATCCAATTTTTTGTTTTCAATTGTACAACAAGTTCACGTTCAATTAGCTCTTACCTAGCTCGTTCTTGTTGAATTCAGGCTAAGGTGAGTGCAGACACCAAGAAGACAGATGTTGCTGAGAGCTCAAAGAATGAGGGAAGCTCAGAGGAGAAGGACGAGCAAAATGAAAATGACAATGCACCGAAGAGAAGAAATGTAAGGCGTGACAATTAACCAAGAACAGGAATTAGTTAAACCGAAAAACTTCAGAAATGAAGGAAGAAAGTAAAAAGTGCTCGACCCTGCACTTGGCGACTTTTACTCTACTAGAGTTGAATATTTTCACTTGGTGACTTTTCTGGAATTAGGTATTGTGCTAGATGATTGATTTGAGATATTATTATCATGTCTTCCATACACTTCAAGAGACTTTTTTTTTTGGAATTGAGGAAGTTTTGTAATTTGTGATTTTCTCCAAGAGATTATTAAATTACCTCTTTGTTTCGCACCCGAAGAAATATCGTGGTCTTTTCTTCAATGTTTGTGGATTTTATACAGAGTTTTCACTGAAGCTGCATTTGTTGTTATTATGTTAGATTGGTACGGATTGGTGTACTCATATTTTTCAGAACTAGAACAGGTCGAATTGATTGGTGTACGGATTGGGGTACGGATTGGTGTACTCATATTTTTCAACCAAACAAAATAATATTCTGTATTATTATGAGACTAAGTGATATCAACTTATTAATACCAAGCAAAGAAGAAGCTTTCTTCACTACTTGGGCTTTTCCACCGGACGACCTACTCACATCGTTGGCTAAGGATGCATTTATGTTTCTTTACACGCGCTTATAGCCTACTCTGTATTTCTATTTTTTGTTGTCTTTTCTGTATTTTCAGTTAGCTTGTATCGGCATTGCCGTTCTATTCTCCAAAAAAAAGAAAAAAAAAAAAAACTTATTAACACCAAGCAAATGCAGCCTTAGTTAATCTAATTAGCTAGTTAGCTGTTCACGAAGCAAAGCTGGCATCTTTATGGAAAATAATATCAAGATTAACCAAAAACTACAAGGATACGAATGAGTCAAACCTAGTTGATGTTCAGAAAGAAAATTATAAAATTAACACAACCTACACGGAAATGAATGAGCTAAACTAGGAAAGCAATTTGTAAAATTAACACAATCTATACGAAGATGAAAGAGCCAAACTAGTAGTCGTAGATGTTCCTCGCATAATCGTTGGTGAAAAAGGCACTTATCATTTTAATGTAGAGTGACCACGCGTTTTAGAGAATATTGAATTGTTGTAAAATACCAACTAAAATTATCCCAATAGAAAATAAAATTTCAATGTGGACTCATCATATTATTTGAAACACAATGCGTACTTATACAATTAAATGTCGCAGTGCTGCTTACATTGTTTTTTAAAGTATAACAACATATACAAATTTGTGAAAATAATATGTTGGCCTAATGATTAGACCTGTCTAACCGAAAGCCTACTTATAGAAAAATATTTGTTGATTGTTTAAAATAATAGGTACAATTTTGCATAGACTTAGATTATTTGGTACAATTTTGCATAGACTTAGATTATTTGAACATTTCTGTAGAACTTAGTAGCATATATTAATAGCATTTCACCATCACACAAATTAAACATTTTCAAAATTTTGGTTATATTATATTTACTGTTTTTTTTTTGTTTAAAAAGTATAATCTTACCACGAAAATGATAAAAAAGAAAAAAGTATAATTTTTTAGGAGTTTAAATTTCGAAACTAGGTTTCATAAATACACACTTGACTAAAGCTATGAACTATGATTCATATCTATATTTTCTTATTTATTAAGGCTGGTTTCAAAAGACAATTTTAATACATTTAAAAATTTTTTCACCCACACTCATCATTATAGGGTGAATTGAAAAGGGAATTTACTATGTTAGGATTTGAGGTATGAGATATGGCGAAAAATATTGCCAGATATATCCTATCTATAATTTTCAAATGTACCATCTATATCAAATATAATGAGGGGCCTAATTAATTGATGAAATAATATAAAATATTATAACAAAGAGTGCAAGTACAACACATACATTCATAGTCGATCTTTACGAGTTTTCATTGCATGATATACTCGATAATAACATCATTATCAATTTTCAAGAAAGCTTCCTTTTCTATATAAACTAATTGTCTATCATTTAACCAATCATCACTCATTCGATTGCTCAATCTATCCTTACTAATATTCCTTACGGAAAATACTTGTTCCACACTAGCTGTTGTAATCGGCAAAACCAACGCCAAAGTTAAAAGTTTGTAAACCAAAGTAAACATTTATGCTTCTTCGTCTGTGACAACTTCTCTACAAGTTCACCGAGTCATTTCAATTCTTTAAACAAATTTTGAAGCGCATATAACAATATAGTTCTGCAACTGATCCTCAAGAATGAGAACATCAGAGGACCATCTTGACTAATTTTTCCTTGTCGAAAGCAGAAAAAGAATCTCGCGTATATAAACAAGCTATACAAAGTAACAACTCCATACTAGCCTCCGAGAAACGATCATGTAACTCTTGTAGTTGCAAATCAATCACAGCACAAAATAAATCAACTCGATAATGATACAAATTCGTTATTTTGGGTGCATTACAAAGTGGACAACCCCGAGGATCAAAGCGAATAAACATGCTAGTCATATCGGGGACATCACTAGAATGTTTCTCACAAAACTGACCAACCTTGTCAAATAATAAATCTCATCCACTTTCTCTCAACTTTTGAAGTCGATATCTATAAACTCTAACTGAATCCGTTGCATTCACAATATCTTCGTCTCTCATTTGTAGTGTTTAGGATAACTCATTCGATATTCCCATGACAATTTTCATCATACGCAAATTTAGCACAAATCTAAAGCAATGAATGGACTTCAATAATACTTCAACCTCTACCTTTTGTATAGAAGTAGAGATAACATCAAGCACATCATCCTCGGAAGAAATAAATAAATTAAGCTAACCAAAGATCTATAATGTGAGTCCCAACGTGTATCACCGGACTGTTGAAGACTAGTTTCTTGGTTTAGATCTCATCCACTTGAAATCTCACCTCAAGATAGAGAAAAAAGAATCCCCGGACATCTTTTTATATTGCATTAATAGTTTCTGCTGCGCAAGCATAAGATAAATCTTTCAAAATGCAAGGAGCTGTTAACTTACAATTTTTAGGAGTATTTTTCATTGTCACCGAAGCAATACCATCATTATGAGCTCTTAAAAATTCCATAGTGACAAGAAAATTATTGGATTAAGAGAATCCTTCGATTCATCATGACCCCGAAAAGGTAGCCCCAATCGCAAGAGATATCGTGCACAATCAAGAGATGCAATGAGATGAATGCGATAATCATCTGTCATTTGTTTAGACTGTTTTTCTAGAGTTGTTTGAATGTGCAGTGCATCACAATTCATGCGCGTTTGATTGTGTTCACTGTCATGTTTCTCGACATGAATACCAAGTCTCGATTTTTCTTTCTGAGATATAAATCCCTCTGTGACAAAAGTTTTCCCTCCTGATTGTTTTCCTTTATTTGGTTTAAAAAGATAACTAGAGACAATATGCAACATCTTTAGAAATACTATACTCCAACCACTCATGTTCCGTAAATCAACCAGCAATAAATCTTCTCACGTTTGTTGATGACGATGAGGCTTTCGTCATGGGTAAATGAAGATCAAACTTTCTTCAAAGTATTTTCACTCCAAAGTCTTGTGCTGCTATCTTGAAGATCCAGACTTCGGACCCTGAGGCCAGAGATAGATGGGTTTGGGTTGGGGACTCTAAAGGTAAATTTTACGTAATCCTATCTTAATCGAAATCCATTTTGAACATAGTTATGTATCTTGATAGCCCACAGAGTAGCTCTTCTGTTTAGAGGGATAAGATGGCAAGTTTGAGGTGTTGGGGTCTGAATGTGAAACATAAACTGAGACATTTCCTGTGGAAGTGTTTCTCTGACACCCTACCTGTGATGGTGAATTTGAAAGGAATGTGATTGAGGTGGATTGGGTCTGCCAATGTTGTGGGGAACAGGTTGAAAATGCAAGGCACCTGTTTTTTTAGTGCAGAAGAGCTCAAGTGGTCTGGAAACTAGCCCCCATCTTTTGGAACTTTTCTGATTCTGCAGCCCAAGATTTTAGAGGTTGGTGGTGGTGGTGGATAGCTGAATTGGATCGTTCTGTTGTTTCAAAAGCACGCATTCAACTTTCAATGTATATCCTTTGGTGGCTCTGAAAAGCGCGCAATCTATGGTTTTTCAGCAAGTTTGGTTGCCGAAAAGGTCGATCGTCTAAGCGGCTTAGAGGGAGTGGATCGAATTTCAGCAGTTAGTCCCCATGATTAGGATTCATCGAAGTTAGGTTCTTATGTTCAGTGGTCTCGTTGTTTCCTTTCTTTTGACTCTTCTTGTGTGTTTGGTTGGTTGTTCTTTTTTAGTTTGGAGTACTTGCTCTGGTTTGTATTCTAAAAGTGTCAAATCGTTGTATTCGCCTTTGATTTGCTATCTTTGATTTGCTATCTCTAGTTTGTATGTTGTCTTAGGCCACCATTGGTGTAGTTCTCCCAATTTGGTTTTGTTGTAAAGGCTAGCGAGTCTTCTGTTTGTATGACCTTTAGTTATCTATGAGATTCTATCATTTGGGAAAGGAAAAAGAAACATGATTCTAACAGGGGTTTTAGAAGGAAAACGCACGAGAAAAGAATCTAGAAATCAAGTCCTCGAGAGACAAGAGACAGTCCACAATTCCCGAAGTGTGCACAGAAATCCATTTTCCAAATACTACAGCAATCAAGAAAAGTAAGCAAAGATCCTTTTCCCAAGTAGACAGAGCAGACAAAAACAAAACGTCTCAACTTTTTCAAGACAAAGTTCTAGGCCACCCTTATTGAGAGTCACAGTTAACTTAATAAAACAAAC